CCTCGTACTTGACCTAAACTTCGCGACCGACGCTCACTTAGTGGGCGGCGAGACTGGTGGCCATGCCCCCGATCGCGTCCAGCAACCTTCTGAACCAGCAGCAGGAGCAGGGCCCGTAGGGCGGAGCCGAGAAAGAAGCAGTACCCGCAGATCCACTGTGGTCCGCCGAATACCTCTCACTGGACCGAGCACGTGAAGGCTCGCTCTGCGAAGGGTGCGAGGGCTGGCCCGATCGCGCTGGCAGTGCTGGAAAGGACCGAGAAGACGCCCATGGATTTGGGGCGCCAGCAAACTTCAACTTGACCCGCGGCAGCGACGGCCGAGAGGGCAGGGCACAGGTTTCAGAGAACAAGTGCGTATATACATACATATATATACACGTACATGTGTGTACTTACATACGCACATACAAACATACAATCATGCATACATACATACATCCATACCTACAAACATACATACATACATGCATATATATACATACATACACAGACATTCATAAATACATACATACATACATACATACATACATGCAGACCTACCTACCTACATACATATATACATACATGCATGCATGCATACATACAAACATTCATGCATACATACATACATGCATACATACACATCCATACATGCACACATAGACACACATACATACATACATACATACATACATACATACATGCATACATGCATACATGCATACATGCATACATCCATACATACATACATACCTACCTACCTACATACATGCATACATGCATACACATATACCTACATACACATACATACATACATACATACATACATACATACATACATACATACATACATGCATACATCATTACTTGTAGCCATACATACATGCATACATGCATACATGCATGCATGCATACATTCATACACACATACACAATATTACCTGCAATCTAGACATGCTCGGGACAATTATCCTCACGCCACACCAGAATTCCGAACAACAGCCGAACGACTCGCGCACACTGTCGCACGCGCCCCAATCACGCGCATGCCGTTGCTCACACCGCTTAAAATTCAAACGGGGAAACACTTGCAGCAGGTCTTCTTCTTCGTAGTTATCGCCTTCTCTTCGCAGTCGCCCTCCCTGGCGACGTGGAGCGCCCCCCCGCCAGGCGCAAACGCCCGCGCTCAGGCGCGCGCGCCCGAGAGCCGCGCGAGCAAAGGTCTGGGACCCTCCCTGCACTCTGGCATCGCGAGCACAGCCCCGCCCCCCAACGCGCAGCCGGCGGCGATGTGGACGCCCGCCGACCAGCGGCCCGCGGGCTGCCCAGCGGTGGCGCCCAGCAGCTCTACAGACCCGCCCCCGCGGAAGAAGAAGGCGCGCCCGTCCTCGGCCCCCAGGGCACACAACTCAGCCCCCTCGTCGCTGACAACCTCCCACAAGGGGCGCCGCCCGCCGCCTGGCGCCCGCTCGAACGCGACCACGGAACCTGCGCCGCCCAGAAGCGAACGCCCGTTGTCTCCGCCAAACATCCCTGTAAGCTTCGTCGCTGGGGGCGGGGCTCCCAGGAAGTCCTGGCGGTGCACGCTGGCGCAGTCCAGCACCTGCCCTGCGCTGCGCCCTCCCAGCAGCGCTAGCGGTCAGCAGCCGGCCGCGTCGCAGCCCGCCGCGACGTCCACGATAGTCTCCGGGCTCTGGGACTGCAACACCACCTGACTGGAACACGGAATACCTGGAACGCGTTCGCTGTGAAACCATCGCCTCCAGCACAGGCAAGAAACCGAGGGCCCACCATGGCGCTGGGCCAAGACACTGGCACAACCTGGGCCGACGACATCGAACGAGACTGTGTGTTGGTAGCACGCCCGAGGCGTCTCGCGTCCAATTCGTCCAGTAAGGGCCGACGTCATACAAGCTAGCAGTGTCACTGACGTGTGCGTGCAAGACTACGACAACGCTGAGGAACCACATGATGGCAGCAGGGACGGTGAAATTGCGAACCGTGGAACGGACCTGGATTCACACCTTCTCAGCGGCCGCCTGGTGCTCTGGTGTGCAGTACGACTTGGAAGATTCAGCAGACGAGTATCTCGTGCTACGCCAGTCGTTGGCATCATCGCCGGTAAGATCTTCGAGCTGCAGCCCGCCTGGGCCCCTCGTGTACTCCGCTGTGGTCTCCTCCACGGACCTCACAGGTTTCCATCCATAAGAACTCGCGATGTAGTACGCGAGATACAGAACACCATGGCCTGCGGGGCAGAGCGGCGCAAACAGTGTTGCCAACACATGCGCTGGATGGGCGGAACGAACCCACATGATGCTCACAGTGGGCCCCCGAGCTAACAGCAACCACACCGATTTCTTTGCGAGCCACTTGTGGTGTGAAACATGCAAGCGATATACCATCCAGACTATGCGGTTGAGGGCAGTCACCATCATCACGCCGACAACATTCGTGTACGAGCTGTCGTCTGACATGAAGAGGCCTAAACACAAGTAAGCAGCACAATGGCACAAACTGCTACATCCGACTCCAATGCTATGCTGTGTCTGGGTGTCGTACGGCTGCCACAGCGCCATATACACTTATCTCTGTAGATAGATTAGCTGGTGACTCGCAAGGGATGACTCTTCGAGAGACTGCTGGGCTGGAGTAGCGTTCTTTGCACTCGGCAAGACGCTACTTGACCTCGACGCTGAACCGCTAGATACCGTTAGATCCCTGGGCTAACGGCCCCGACCAGGATGGGCAAAAGCGACGAAATCGCTCGTGATTGCCAGCCTCAAAACCGCGTTTCTCGGCCTCACGCGCCCGGTATTTCTTGTCAGCGATCCCCTGGGGGCCTGAATGATATATATACACCACATCGGCACAAATGGCCGATGACGACCAGCCCTCAGCCGCTGAGCGCCGTAAACATACAGCTCGGCGACCGAGGGACAGCGCGCGGGAAGAAAAGGACGGTCCTGTAGAACCCCAGATCTAGCCCAGCACGCCATCCGACAAAATCTAGTCAAGTTGCATCATGCGAGGACGCAGCAGCAGGCCTTGCCGCCGCCGACGCCTCGCGGGCCTGAATGCGCGCCAGGAGCGCAGCCATCCCTGTCGTCTCTATCAGCCCAGACGACGAGCGAGGCAGGCTGACGTCGTGCGGCGGAGGCCGCTGGGACGCGTATCAGAAGAACGCTACTCCGCGCCTCGAAGACCCACTCACCGTGCTGCTTTCACGGTGGTGAGGATAAGCACCTGAAAAAATACGCCTCAGCGTCGTGGAACCTCCAGCCAGCCTACGCTGGATACACTCCTTACCGAGCATGTGGCAGCGCGCGGAGGAACACGCTCCGCACGTAGTACAGAAAAAGAGGGTGAGCCGCTGCTCACCCTTACTTACAATGCAATGCGCCAGGGAGTGCCCCAGGGACCTATCGGCCTCAGGATGCTCCCATTTTAACTCGTCGAAAAACAAACGGTCCTGACTTTCAAGAGCCTCGACCAGCCATTCGACGGGAGCCTCATCCGTGACGCTTTTCCGAGCTGCGAGAGGCTATCCCTTAAAATTGCTGCGCCTGCTGCATCTATGCGTGGGTGTAAGACGGTGGGTTCTCTGGCAGCATTTCCCAAGTCAACAGTCTCATGGTGTTCAAGAGCCCGCGAGTGTGGCCCTTCACGGTAAATCTGACCGAAAGTACGAGAAAGCCAATGGCGACGCATGGGCTAAGCTCGAACTTGAATTTAATGTGCAGCGGAGCGGTTTCAGGAATGGAAGTACGTAGTGACCAGACTTGCCGCGATGCCCAGTATGAGTGTAGCCACGATCATACAGCTGTTGATCCTGGCAACTGTGATGTTCACCATCCCTCGGAGATCGTCTCGAGCGATACTCGCCCAGCGCATGTGATAGTTGCTCTCCCGGCAAATCTGCGCCTGCCGCATGGCGCAATTGCTCACGTAGGCGGCCTGGCTGTACGGCCAGACCTAGGACGGATAACACCCTTCAAGAACATGAGACCCTCCGCCGGCCAAATTGAAGAACATTCGAGGGTACCGTCCCCACAGGATGCACAAGAACATCCAACAAACACGAAGAACATTGGGGTACTCTCCCCGAACCGACCTCGATCTCATAACTCGGTCCGACCGTAGGTGACCCCCGCCGCTGTGCATCCCAACTCGAGCCAGAGGCGAGCCCGAACTCGTCCGCCTCCTAGAGCCCGCTCGGGGCCACTGCAGCGCGCTGGAAGCTGCGCTCTCATTGCTGCGGTCACGGCCATGGCGCTCCGCCGGGAGGGTGGGTGGAGCGGGGCGCCGTGGCGGCGGGGGGATGAGGAAGAAGATGAAGACTCGGGCTTGAGTGTGGTCTCATCGTATGACCTGCTGATCGCTGAGCGTTGGGCTCGACCACAGCGTACATCGCACAGACGTAATCGCTTGATTCCGAGGTGTCGGGTATCACGCACCGTGCAGTCCCTCATGATCACTCTCATTCAGGAAGAAGCAACTCACTATTCTCTGCTGGGCTGCGGCGGGGGGAGGAGGAGGACAAGAAGGGTCGCCCCCTGAACCAGCCAAGGCTTGAGCCAAAATGGCGACAGATCTGCGGCAAGACCTCCTCGGGCCATCCACTCCGTTAGCCGAGGGGAGTGCATGGGACCAGGCGTGGGGCGTTTCGCTCAGGGCACCTTGGGCATTTGCCTGGCTTGGCCAACTGTCTGATCTGGCTTGGCAGGGCGCCCCGCCCGAGACATTCTCGGGCCATCGACTGGCCTGGTCTGGGGCCGACTTCGCATGGGATGCTCTCGCAGTCTGCCCGGTTTGGCATGGCTTCGGCACGGTTCCGCCCCACTGCCGCCGCCTCCCCGCGCCCAGCCGCGCGCAGGGCAAGGGCGCCAGAGGCCAACGCGCCTCGCCGCCCCGGCTGCCCTGGGTGTCCTCCCCCATCGTCGCCGTGCCGTTCGTTCCCCCACATGTGCTCGTGCCCTCGTCGTCGTCGGATCCGCTTTCTCTCCCCAGGGAGGGGGCCCGCCCCTGGTGGCCGAAGAACTCCTCCAGCCTCTCCGTGGTCCAGCTCGGGGGCAGGCCCCGCGCGTAGAGCGTGCGCCCCTCCGCCCCGGCCCTGTTGTTCTCCTCCCGCTGGCGCTGCCACGCGTCCTCGGCTCGGCATCGCTGGGCCCGGGCGTTGCTGAATGGGGTGCGGTAGGTGGGGGGGCGGCATGTACGGTTGGCGTTGGAGAGGTAGCGTGTGGCATCGATCTCCGAAGAGCACGCTGCGCTTATGAGGCGATCTCCCCCCGAAAGGCCCCTCTGTGCACGCCATCCCCCTGCCGGGGCTTCTTCGGCACACGCTGTGCCCAAGGTGGGGTACAGTGTGTCACAAACGGGCCAGCGGCGCCACATCGCACGCTGTCTTCCCGACGCCAACTGTGCTCCCAATCTCAGGTGAGCAAAGAGCGACATGAACATGAAAACTCGGAGGTCCGCGCGGATCTCTCGGAACGGCGCTGGACCCCTCTCCCTGGCGCGCGGAGCGCGCCAGGGGCGGCGCCGGAGGCGCCGTCAGGGGGTCCAGCACGGATCCGAGGAATCCGCACGGACCTCAGAGCGTTCATGTTTATGTCGCTCTTCGCTCTCCTAAAATCTGGCAGGGGGTCCCCGAGGTGTCCTCAAACCCTGGGGCGGGGACAGAAGCGACGACGCTGATCGGCAGGTGCGGCGCGGGGGCGGGGGGGGGGGGCGCCCTGGAAGGATGAGGCCTAGGAAACGAGCTCGATCCAGCCATCACGGTGGGGAAGCGAAAAGCAAGGAGGGCCTCGGCGAAGCTTATATTTGGACGCCCGAAATGGGTACGGAAAGAATGGGTACAAAGCCCAACAGCAAATGTTGTCCCAAACCAACAGCGGCCGCTGATGGGCAGGCGGCCTTCTGTCTCGAATGGACAAAGGCCGCGGCGGCGCGGACAGCGAGTCCTGTTAAGAATGAACAGGAACTGCTGTTGGGCATTGTACCCATTCTTTCCGTGCCCATTTCGTTCGTGCAGATTATAGAAGCAAGGCCCAAGCTCTCGCTCGAGGCCTGCCAGGGGTGCCGCCCGTGGTCCTCCCGGGAGCCGTGTGCGCACCCCGTCGCAGGAAGCTCCGTGTTATCACAACCCCTGCCGTTGCAGATACTGGCCCTAGCATGCTATAGGCGTACCAGGCCCCAGGAGGAGGGGGAGGAGGAGCAGGACGACGAGGAGGACCATTGTAAACCCAAGACTCATGTTCAATGCACCCTCCCTCCAAGATCCCTCTTCATAGGCCCCTACAAGGGGTCATTCCCACTGAGGGAACTGTTTCGTTGGGGGACGACCATGTGAACATCTTGAAGCGTGTCAAAACACCATCTTCAAGATTTCAACGCCACGAGTTAACCTGACTGTTACGTCTTGGCGTTCATGAACCGTAGCAGGGCACCATTCCTGGGATTTCAACACCACGAATCGACGTAACTGCTGCGCCCTGACAATCCTGAATCGCTCCAAAACGCAATCTCTAGTACGTTAGCAATGGGAACCAATGAAACTCTTGCAAATGTTTAAAGCGAACATGCGCGGCGCTGAGGCGAGATCCGCATTTAGAAAAGGAGCCGTCCTCAATCAATGTTTCAAAACGAATGTGCGCGGCGCTGAGGCGAGATCCGCATTTTGAAAACGAACCATCCTCAATCCGTCAAGCTCTTGCAAAGTGTTACAACGAATGTGCACGGCGCCAAGACGAGAGCCGCATTTTGCAAAATCAGCCGCCCTCGGTATCTGAAGTTCTTGCACATTGTTAAAAGGAATGTGCGCGGCGCTCAGGCGAGAACCCCATTTTGAAAACAAGCCGCCCTCATTCCGTGAATCTCATAAAACTTGTTAAAACGACCGTGCGCGGCGCTAAGGCGAGAGCCACTCTTTGAAAACCAACCGCCCTCAATATGTGAATCTCTTGCAATGTTTGAAACACATATGCGTGGCGCTAAAGCGAGAACCACATTTCGAAGACCCAACCGTCCTCAATCCGTGATTTTTTTGCAACGTTCGAAAACGAATGCGCGCGGAACTAAAGCGAGAGCCACATTTTGAAAACAACCCGCCCGCAATCCGTGAAACTATTGTAAATTCTGAATCGAATGTGCGCGGCGCCACGGCGAGAGCCACATTTGGGAAGCGACCCACCCTCCATCTGTGAAGCTGCTGCCAATTTTTAAGCATCAGGGTCATTCGTGGTGAGGAAGTCTCAAGCGAAACGCCCAGCCCGCCCTTTCGAACAGCCTCTGAGTGCGACAGGGAGGAGTTACCAATAAGGAAGAGGAATGGAGGAGGAGGAGAAGGAGTAGGAGGAGGAGGAGGAGGAGGAGGAGGGGAGGAGGAGGAGGGAGGAGGAGGAGGCAGAGGACGGTGTGGTGGCCTTCCCCTCCTCGTTCCCCCCCTTCGGAAATGGTCCCCCGATGGTGTCCGGTGGGCCCCGCACTCGCGACGGTCGGGCGGGCGCCCGTGGGGGCCCGCGTGGGCGCCCGCGCGGCCGGAGCCGCAGCGAGAGAGCGGAGCAGGAGGAGCGACATCCGCCGAAGGAGGCGGAGGCGGAGGCGGAGGCGGAGGCGGCGGCGGAGGAGGAGGAGGAGGAGGAGGAGGCGGATGCGGATGCGGAGGAGGAGGAGGAGGAGAGGAGGAGGAGGAGGAGGAGGAGGAGGAGGGGGCGGAGGAGGAGGAGGAGGAGGAGGAGGTGGAGGAGGAGGAGGAGGAGGAGGAGGAGCAGGAGGGGGAGGAGGCGGAGGCGGAGGCGGAGGCGGAGGCGGAGGAGGAGGAGGAGGAGGAGGAGGAGGAGGAGGAGGAGGAGGAGGAGGAGGAGAGGGAGGTCCCAAGGTCTGACGGCAACGGCGGCGGGAGCAAGCGCATCGCGCCTGTGCGCGGCCGTGGGTGCGGATCTTTTTTTTTGCCCGCGAGCTCTCTTGGGCCCCCCACCTCCTCTCGTCGCAGCGGAAAAGCACGACGGGGGGGTTGGGAGTGCTTCCGGCCCCCAGGGGCCCCCACCGGGCCTCAGGACCGTCAGGAATGATCCAGGGATGAAGAGCCGGTCGCGGGGAAGGGGCCCAGACCTCTGGGAGGTCGATTTTGCGCACGCTGCTGGGGATACGCGCGCAGATCAAAAGGAAACAAGAGGGTCCAGGAGTGGGGTTCCAGGAAGCAGAGCACGGAACGGCTGGGGGGAAGAAGGATGGTGATGAGGAAGAGGGGGAGGAGGAGGCTTTCCCTCGTCCTCGTCGTCCCCATCGCTCTGCTCATCCCACTCATCCCACTCCGTTTCATCTGCCTCCTCGTCATCCTCCGTGTCCTCGTCCTCCGTCCACCTCCTCCTGCTCCTCCTCCCTCCCTCCTTCTCCTCCTCCTCCTCCTCCTCCTCCTCCTCCTCCTCATCCTCCTCCACTTCCTGCTCCTTCTGCTCCTCCTCTTCCTCCTCCTCCTCCTCCCCCTCCTCCTCCTGCTCCTCCTCCTCCTCCTCCTCCTCCTCCTCCTCCTCGCCCTCGTCCTCGTCCTCGTCCTCCTCCTCTTCCTCCTCCTCCTCCTCCTCCTCCTTCTCCTCCTCCTCCTCCTCGACTCCATACTTCGTCGATTCGTCCTGCCGCGCGCGCGCTTGCTTCCTTGCTTGCGCGCGGGGGGGGGCCAGCGGCCCAGCGAAGCTCAAGGCGGGACCCGCCTATGCTTCTCTGCCTCCTCTCCCCGGGGAGGGTGTGGGCTCGGTGCCCGCGAGGCCCCCATGCGAGAACGGCGCCCATGCACCGTACCACGTCTGGACTCCGTTCAGGCCCCGCTCCAACGTGGTACAGTGCACAATTTGCTCGGCTCAGGGGGCCGGAAGACTATGCACTGTAGCATTCCCGGGTCGAGGATCGGCGACGCCTCGAGAGGCGCCAGCGCGGTACGGTGAATACAAGTCGTCCGCGGACCCCAGCCCCCTCCCCCCGTGCTGTCCTTTACTTGGGAAGCTGTTGTTGCCTCCTACGCGGGCCCCGAGAGTGCACCGTTCGCGCACATGCAGTTCGCGCGAAATCCGCGGCCGTTCGAGCGAAATCGTTTCGGCGAATGCGCGCGAAAAGGGATGAAAGGATGAATCGCTGTGGATTCCTCATTGATCCTCCTCCTGACCCCCTCTTTTCTGATCCCCCTCGTCCTCCCTTTCCTCCTCCTCCTCCTCCTCCACCTCCTCCACCTCCTCCTCCTCCTCCACCTCCGACTCCGCCTCCTCTTCCTCCTCCTCCTCCTCCTCCTCCTCCTCCTCCTCCTCCTCCTCCTCCTCCTCCGCCTCCGCCTCCGCCTCCGCCTCCGCCTCCCCCTCCTCCTCCTCCTCCTCCTCCTCCTCCTCCTCTCCTCCTCTCCTCCTCCTCCTCCTCCTCCTCCTCCTCCTCCCCCTCCTCCTCCTCCTCCCCCTCCTCCTCCTCCTCCTCCTTCTCCTCCTCCTTCTCCTCCTTCGCCTCCTCCTCCTCCTCCTCGAGCACGCAGCGTGGGGCACGGGGGCCGCGCTCGGCTACTCCCTCGCCCCGCGACTCGGAGGAACCGCGATTCATGCGCAGCCCAAGCAGGTGCCGCGCCCATGGGCCCAGCAACTGGCGGGGACTGCGATTTCCACACGCTCCGGACAGGAATGTCAAAGATCCCAGTTCCCGCCATCCGCCTGGATAACGCCGAAATCCTGGCCCCCGGCTGCGCGTGGCGCCCCGAGCCCCCGCCCCCGCGAGCGGCGACCGCTGGGATGGCGGGAACCGGTATTTTGGAGAGATCGAGCCTCCCGAAATCCCGGTTCCCGGCTCCGTCGGGCGCTCCGAGCCCCTGCCCCCGCGAGCGGCGACTGCCGGGTTGGCCGGAACCGGGATTTTGGAGAGATCGAGCCTGGAAAAGCGCGAATCCCAAATCCCGGCTCCGTCGGGCGCCCCGGGTCCCATGCCCCCGCGAGCGGCGACCGCCGGGATGGCGGGAACCGGGATTTTGGAGAAATCGAACCTCCCGAAATCCCGGCTCCCGGCTCCGTCGGGCGCCCCGAGCCCCTGCCCCCGCGAGCGGCAACCGCCAGGATGGCGGGAACCGGGTTTTTGGAGAGATCGAGCCTGGAAATTGCCCGAAATCCCGGTTCCCGGCC